TTTTTTTTTACAACCACAGGGATTAGCCATTTCCTGGCAAACAGCCGGAACCCAAAGCAGTTTAAGGGAATGAATGGAAGACCTAAGCAACCCACTTCTTTCCGATGCCACCCCGCATGGCAGATCTCCAGCTCGATTCCAGGGTTGAAAGAACAGCGGCTTCTATTGGCTGGCTCAGCTCTTTTGGCCCCTGAGAGGCATCAGCCAGGCCAGGGGTATTGTGCAGGGGCTGGGTCCAGAAGAGGGAGAGGAAGGCTCCAGCAGGGCAGGTAATCCTGGCCCGGGTTAGAAATCAGGCTGAAGTTACTCATTAGCAGCTGGAAGGGTCAAGGGTCGAGGCCAGGGGGCTGGAGGCAGTGGACTGAGCAGCCAGAGGGGAGAGCAGCTAAGGCAGTCGGCCCACGCCACCCACTCTGCCGCCTGAAGATGTTCCACCGAGTGTGGGCCGCTCTGCTGTCCCTCTATGGCATCCTCCTCAATTCCGTCTACCAGTGCCCCGAGCACCCTCAGCTGATGGCTCTTGGCGTGGATGAGAAAGAGGTACGGGGAGGCCCACAGCGGAAGTGCCCGGGTGGGCTGCCTAGGGTGAGCAGAAGCCGTGTTGGGGGAGGAAGGACTGAGGGTTCGGAGGATCAATGGGGGACTTTCTTGGGCCCGGGATTTAGCTCAGTGGTTCTGCCACCTGCCTCCCAAGTGCAAGGTCCCAAGTTTGATGCCCAGTACCAAAAAGAAGAAGAAGAAATATCTGTATTAGGGTTATCAGTATGGAAACACGGCAAGTCGGGAAGGGGTGGTGATCCAGGTTGGCTGGGGATGGACTCGGAACCTAACACCGCTATGGGTGGAAGGAAGAGCCCACAGCACTGCCCCAAGCCTGCGGCCGAGCGGTTGGAGGCAGCCCAGGTCAGACCCGCTGATGGCCCGCTACTGCTTCCTCCGTCTGCCCAGCTCCCAGAGCCCCACCTGGGCCGATGGTACTTCATCGCCGGGGCAGCTCCCACCAAGGAGGACTTGGCCACCTTTGAGTCTGTGGACAACATCGTCTTCAGCATGGCTCCTGGCCCCGCTCCGAGGCGGTTCCAGCTTAGTGCCACCGTCCGCACGTGAGTGGTGAGGGGCGCTAGCCCTGCACTCTGCCGAGCTGAGCAGCTGTCTCGGGCGCTGGGCCTGGCCCTGCGTCCCACACTTCTGGGCGCTTTGTGCTCCTCCGTCGCTGGCAACAGGGAGCTGGGCGTGGGGAGGACTAAGATGAACAGAGGCGGGATGTGTCCCTGGGGTGACACTCGGTCTGTTCTCCTGGCCACCACCACATCTACAGGAAAAATGGGTTGTGTGTGCCCCGGAAATGGATCTACCACCTCCCTGAGGGGAGCACCGATCTCAGAACTGAAGGTGGGTTCCTGGCAGCCCCCACCCTTCCCAGCCCACTCCCCAGCGTGGTTCTGCATCTCTGTCCTCACGACTCCCGACTGCAGGCCGCCCTGACATGAAGACCGAGCTCTTCTCCAGCTCGTGCCCAGGAGGGATTATGCTGAAAGAGATGGGCCAGGGTTACCAACGCTTTCTCCTCTACAGTGAGTAGGAAGAGTTAGGGAGACCGGGGAGGACGCAGCCCGTTTCTCTGGGCCTCTGCCATCCTCCCCGCTTGGGCCGGGCTTCCCTGAAGTCCCGGGGATGGTGCCAAGGAGCACCTGAGCATCCGGCTGCATCGGACCCTACAGATCGCACCCCACACCCTCCAGAGAAGTGTGTGGAAGAATTCCGGTCCCTGACCTCCTGCCTGGACTCCGGAGCCTTTTTACTGATTCCCAGAAACCAAGGTAGGGGCTGAAGTCTCCCAGAAGAAGACTGGGACCTCAGGTCATGTGCAGGCACTGGATGAGAGGCTCGGGATCGCAGCAGAGCGCATAGCCAGAGAGGACACGGCAGAGTGGCCGTGTCCGTATTTCTGCCTCTCGCAGGCTGTGTGGCACCAGAGGCATGGGCTGAAAGTTGTGATATCTCACAAGGGAGCAAGGATGGGCCGTGGCTACTCAGAAGATAGGTTTCTGAGTCTGCAGTGGACCAGGGACAGAGGGTCAGGCGCGCAGGGGAAGGGGCCGGCGAGACGCTCTGACATGGAGCAGGCACCCGATGACCGCCAGCCTTGCTCCCACGCTGAGACTGCCTGTGTCTCCTCTTTCTTCCCTCCTCCTCCTGTCAGAGGTCTGTGAGCTGCCCAGTAACCGACATGGAACTGCAGCCGTGGTCCCAGCCAGATACGGTGGGAGCTGAGTGCTGAGGGAGGAACACTGGAGACTCCTTTTGCCGATAATAAAAGTGATTGTTCAGCCCTCGCCTCACTGCCCCCAGTTCATTTCGACACCGATGCCCACCCTGCCTCCCCCCTCCACAGCTAACCCCCTGCCAGACCATACAACGTCAGGAAGGACACTGCGTGGCGCCCTTCTCACACCGTGACTTAGTGTAATACAGGTGTTTATTGCTGAGTGAGCAAGTGCCTGGCCTGAGCGGAGACTCCAGGCTCCGTCCGCTCGCCTGCCTGGGCTGCTGGCTGCCCGCACTGTCCCATTCCCTTTGGCTCCGGTGAGTACCGGAGCTTCCCTGCAGGCGTCTCGTTCCCTGTGGAGGCTCCGTCCGCTCGCCTGCCTGGGCTGCTGGCTGCCCGCACCGTCCCATTCCCTTTGGCTCCGGTGAGTACCGGAGCTTCCCTGCAGGCGTCTCGTTCCCTGTGGGCCCAGTCCAGACCCTCTCATCCACCAGCCCAGCATCCCCACTTCTAGGGAAGCCCCCCACTCTTGCCTAGATGGCTCAGGTTCCAGGATTCCCCCGGGGACACCTTGGGAGTTTGGAAAGGTAGAAAGGAACCTCTGGTCTCTATTCTCCATTATCACGCCTTGAGGGGGGGCTTTAAAAAAGGGGGGGAAACTAGGTGAGAAATATAAAAGCAAAAAGTAACAGCTGGTGAATCCAAGGCAACGCCCCCTACCCATAAGCAGACAGCTGCTCTCTCCTGTGCAGGAAGGGAGCCCTGTGCCTTCAGCCTGGGGGTTCCTCCCCATCCCTGAGGTCCCTGTGCTTGGGACTCTCCACTGTGGTCCTAAAGGCCACACTAGCTGCACTCTGTCCCCAGCCTGCCCTATGGCCCCAGCGCCTTTCCTGGGTCTCCCCTCTGCTCCTGGGCCTCCCTCCCCAGCCCCTCGTCTTCCCAGTCAGCGGCGTCTCCATCCCCACTGGGCTCCCGGAGGCTGACGGCCAGCACCAGAGCCTGCAGGAGGCCGAAGAGGCCTGCGAAGTGCAGGGGGTGGGCGGTGAGCAGGCTCAGCACGGCGTGCAGCCCGTGCAGGGTCGCCAGGAAGGACAGCAACCCGTGCAGCCAGAGGCCCAGAGGTCCGCGGAGGCCCAGTGCGTCCAGGGCTGCGCGCAGCGGCCGGGAGCACAGTGCCAGCAGGCTCGAGGCCAGCAGCTCCAGCAGGTGCAGGGTCAGGTTGGTGGAAATCTGCAGGCTCTCCTCGGGGTCCCCTCGCAGCCAGCCCAGCAGCTTCTGGCGCCGGCCAGGCTTCTCCACTGGGGCTTCAGGCCCGGGGGCGCCCAGGCCCTCCTCGGGGGATGCCCCGGGTCGCAGGGCGCCCCCCGAGTCCACAGGAGCCCGTCCCAGTGTTGGAAGGGCTCCTTCGGCTTTCAGGCTCCCGGACTCTCGAGTGCCGGCGCCAGCCGTGTCCCACTTGAGGGAATCCACCCTTTGGCTCCCCGACTGCTCAAGCGGGGGCTCCCTGCTCGGCTCTGGAGCAGCCCTGGAGCTCCTCAGAGTCTCCGCGTCCTTGGTTTTGGGAGGTCCCGCATCTCCCATGGTTTCGGGGGCGCTGTCCCAGTCACTCCCTGAATTCTCGGGGGAGCTCTCCGCCCATCTGGGCTCTGGGGCAGGAGGGTCAGGCCGCGCCGGTTTCCGGCGGCCCCAAGGGCGAGGTAACCAGCCGCCGAGCCGGCGCAGGAACATGGCTGGGATGTGCCGCGGGCTCCCCCAATCCTGGGGCCACTTTCGGACCCTTCTCAGGCCGCGTCAGAAGCCAGAATCTGCTCAGGTTCAGAATAGGTACCTGCTGGCGAAGCCGGCGACTGCACTCAGGGGCTCCCCACCTCCCCCAAGGGTCATCAGCCTCCAGTGTGGCTTGGCTCCTTTTCCGTTTGGGTAGAGAAGGGGGGCACAGCACCCCCCACAAGGCTTCGGGTCTCAGAGTCTCACCAGGCCTCGGCTCCCCACAGTAGCCTCTGTATTTTCGGATTTCCTTCCCAGCAGGCAGCACCCCAAGTTTCACTCACCGAGGCCACTCCCCAAGGTGCCCCACAAACTGGGGAGGAGGTGCTCCATCAGAGGAAGGAAGGTGGACCCGGTCCTGAGGTCCTTCCGGATCTGGGGAATCTTAAATTGCGCCCCGAAGGCGCTCAGGGAAGGAAGTCTCTGTGGGGAGGCTTTGAAGGTCCCAGCAACCTCCAGCCCAGCCAGTAGCGCCGTTCCCTTGATTTAGGGGGCGACGGTTCCTACGAAGTGGTCCCCCGGCCCGCGAGGGTGCAGCGAGAAGCGGCCTCCCCCAGATCTGGACGGAGCGGTCCTTGCAGATCGCGGGCGCCGGTGCGGCGCGGGCTCCCGGGCCCAGGAATCCGGACG